AAAAGTTGTTACGATCTGCCTCTGTTTATGGCACCCCTATAGCTAGATGAGCCTTTTTAATGATTGGGAAATCATTCTTAGACTGGTTTAGTGCCATAATTTATTACATTTTTTTTTTATATTTTCTAAGTTATTTTTAGAAGAATCTAAATCGTCCTGAAAGTCCTGAGTGGGAGCTGTCAAGGAAACAACTTGCTAATAGAAACACAGCATAATTAACTGCCTTTTTTAAATGATTTGCTGGAAGAGCTGATAAATAGGGGACAGCAGCAGCAGAGGGTCTTTGCAACTGTACCGAGTGATCCAATATTTAATAAGTGACCTTATTACAGAGAAATAAGTGACCTTATTATAGAGAAATTAGCTTTCAAACAGAAACAATGTCATCATAAGATTCACTTCATAATTTATTAAGCTTTTTGTCTGTTTGTGCTTTTTGAACAGCAGTGGTGTGCTTGCAGTATACTCCCTGACTCCTGGATATGCTCAGTGAGCTCTGGAGCACAGGCAGCATTTTAGGACCAGGCTCGTTGTTAAAAATGCGAATGCTAAATCCCCTCCCATCATTTCTTGTCTCAAGAGCATGCAACCAGGTCACAGTCATCCTGGTTCTCCATGAAGCCACACCATGGTGATCACAGGGATAACAATGGATGAGTATGAATCAGAAACGTCTAATAGCCCTTATAAGTTTGCCTTTAGGGCTCAGTTTTCTAAGCTGGAAGCTGGTATTAGCCTGCCATGCTAGATGTAGCACTCTGCACTCTGCAAAAATAATACTGCTGAATCAGAAGCTGAGCTCACATTGTGACAGTTTGGCATTCAGTTCTTGGTAGGATGCTAGGGTCTGTTAGTATTGTTTAAATGGAAGCAGTAGCCAAATGCTATACAGACACAGGAAGAGAGAGTGTCTTTGCCCTGAGGGACTCATAAACTAAGTGGCAAAGTAACGAAAAATAAAGACAGCATGGAAGCAGATGCATGACAGTTAGCTATACATTAATAGTTCCATTGAAAATGCTTTCTTAAATTAATTTGCTGGATGGAAGATAGTCTGTCTTTTAGACCTGACATCAGTTGGTTATTTCCATGTAAGTATCGTGGCTAGGGTTATCAGCAAGTGAATTTTCAACAGTGAGAAGGCAGTAGCCATGGAATTCAGTTATGAAATCAGGAATCATGACTTAGGTCCTCTCCAGTCCAAGCTCCTACTGAAAGCAGGACCAACACTGAATGCGGATCAGGTTGCTCACAACTTAATCCAGTCTGGTTTGTCAACTTCCAAGGATGGAGATTTTGCAGTCTCTCTGGGCAGACTGTTACATTCTTACTTGCCTCATGGCAAATGGCTGGATGGCATGGAATTATTTTGCTTGTATCTGGTCTGAATCTTCCTCTTTAGATTTTATAACCATTGTCTCTTATTCCTCCACCATGCTCATCAGTACCTAGCACTGTCGTCTCAGTAACCTCTAAAAGCACTGGAAGGCTGCTACTAGACCCCTCCAAAGTTTTTCTTCTCCAGGCTAAACAAGCCCAGTGCCCTCAGCCTCTCCTCATAGGGCAGGTGCTCCAGACCTCAACCTTCTTGGCTGCCCTCTTCTGGGGTCACTCAAGTGCCAAATAAAGAGGAATAATCACAGCCTGTTGATACTGGCTGCATTCTGTTGATGCATCCCAGAGTCTGTTAGCCTTCATTATCTGCAGGGCACAGCACTAACTCAGGTACAAATTGCTGTTCTCTAGGACTCCTAGATCTTCAGTAGCATTGCTCCCCAGCTAGTTCGTCACCAGCCTGTACCAATACACAGGGTTAGTCCATCTCAGGTACAGGAATTTGTATTTATCCGTACTGAATTTCTTTTCAGTCCATTCCACCAGCCTCTCCTAGGTTCCTCTGAATAGCAACTGTGCCTCCAAGTGTCTGTTTTGGTGTCAAGCACAGTCTTGATCAGTGAGTGTTCTGTGTCCCTCTCCAGAACATTGATAAATAATATGGAAGAGGACATCTGAAATTAAATATTAAGGACTCGTTCTTGAGCCTGATAACCCAGCTGGTTTTTCACCTACTTATCTAACATCACAACTTGGATAGAGGAATGCTCTCAGAGACTGTAACAAAAGCCTTGCTAAAGAATAGATGATGTCCACTGTCTCTTCCCGCTAGAAGACAATCAGTTTGATTAGACACAATCTACCCTCAGTTGAACAACATGTGCTAAATGACATGTCCTCTGACTAGACATGTGTTCCAAGAACATTCCATGGTTTTCCCAGAGACTAAAGTGAAGGGCTAACTGGTTGACCAGCCTGAAGTTTTTCACGTTGTCTCACTTATCCTTTCTGAAGACAGGTGCAACATTTGCCTTTCTCCAGTAACCAGGGACCTCCTTTGATCTCCATCACCTTTCAAAGATGATAGAGAGTGGCCTCAGTGACCTCTCTCATCACCCTTCAGTGCAGCCCATGGGGTTGAGGGGAAGCAGGCTAGGTCAGGAAACACATTCTGAATTCAGGGGCATGGAGGAAAATATGGAGGTGTTGTCATGTGCAGAGTGGGAGCTTCAGACTAAGTTTATTAGGGAAGCCTGGCCATTGAGTCACAAGGTGCAGAAATGACCCTCTTGCTTTCTAAACTGCCTCTCAGGGAGGAGCCTAAGTGTGGCTGGATCCAGTCTTAGCCCCAGACTTAGTCAATGGTTTATATTAAAGAATTATACTGCTGTAATTGTACTTTTCTGCAACTTTGCCCTGCAGAATTAAGGATGGCAACTCAAATATATTTATATATATATACAATGAATGATTTATTTAAATTTATTACAAATATCGTAATGATTAGGGGGAAAAAGCTTAATCAGAATTATTTACAACACAGTATGAATAGCTGTAACTACTAGTAAAGTGCACTGGTTTTGAAACAATATTGAAGTAATTATATTAAAGCAAGTATATTGAAGCAATTACATTAAAGCTAACAAAACAATTATTAAGTAGAGATTGATGTTACTTACCCATGCCAACAACCATGGGCAAATATCTTTGACTCAGCTTTGAGGAATAACCATCCCCACCTCAGGGAGGTATGCTAGGAGTCCTTGCTGTGCAAAAGTGGGACTGGCCTTTATAGTGTAAAGGGATTCACTGTCAGTCATATGCATTTTTAAGATTATGTGTTATCAGGCTTGCTCCACAAAAATCTGCTTTGTGCTGAAAAGGGTGTTAGCAGCCCTTTAGTTTCTTCTACTCAGCACTTTTGACTCTCACTTCCATATCAGGACCTGCACATCCTTGCTGCTCCCAGCCTCAGTCAGGGAACCTCTGTCTTGCATGTCCTCATGGTGGGTTTGATAGTTTGGTCAAGCTCTCATATTCTTCAACATTAAGAACAGCAGACCCTCCTCACTCAATCTTATCACTGATCAGCAGACCCTTCTTGCTCAGGCCATCACTGATAAACTTGTAAGACAAATTTCAAGCCGATGTATCCTTGATTAGGCAGAGAGTCCTGCTACAGGTATCTGTGAGAGAAGTAATCTAATTAGGACATGGATATATATTTATCTTTGTCTTTGCTACTGTGTCATTTTCATGTAGTTAAGTGAGAATCCAATTCATTCTTGGGTTCATATCTATTAAAGCTGCATCTAGATTTCAGTTTTATTCTCAAATGTGAAAGAGCAGGGACTGTAGATCAAGCTGAATTCCTGCTGGTGAGTGATGCTAGGTATCACATCTTGCCAAAACAGGATCCCATTGCCACCTCACAGTCTATGTGGATTCCATCTGCTTTAATTCTATTATTATGCCATCTCAGATGATTCAAGTATTTACCTCTTTGTCCTTTTAAATTTAGGATTTGTCTTCAACCCTCCCCCCAGTGAGTTGCATGTTTTGCTCCTGTTCCTCTGGTCTGTGAATTCTTTGTTTGCAGGCTGGCAAGGCACCAGTTCTGGGGTGACAGATGGAGCAGACTGCAAACCAGGCAGTTGCCTCCTAGCCTGAATGATATTTTAATAAGCACAGAGAGGTGACAGAGAGAGGCGCTTCTCACTGGAATGACTGGCAGTTTTGTTTTCAGTCTGAAAGCACTAATAGATAATTTTTGGCCTCAGTCCAAAAAAAAAAAAAACCCACAGAAATTAGAAACAGAAAATCCTATTAGCTCCTTTTTTTTTTTTTTTAGGGTCAAAGAAGTTTTTTATGTCTGGTCTATTATCCAGGTAGGGAGTTGTTTTCCCATTTTTGGTATGTTAGTTCTCTCTCAGGAACTGCATACTTTATGAGACTTTCCTTTTATTTACTATTACTATTTATTACTATTTATTTACTATTTTGTTTTCCTTCCTTTTTTATTATTTCAATAATTTTCTCCATCGTCTCCTTCCCTAAACGTTCTCTGTTCTTCATATTTCTTTACACTCTTCACAGATTCATGTTGAAGTCTGAATAATGGGTCCTAACAACTTGGCTTCTGGCTTCCACATCCTGTGAAACAGTCAGTGCAGTGCAAGGCAATGGCATCTGCATGGGAATCTCTAGAGCACGTGTCCTCTTCTCTCTGCCCTTCAGTTGTATCTCAGTCGTATAATACAGGGTTTGTGTAGGGCTTTGTTTCATCCTTACAGATAAAAACACAACAAAAGGGAGCTCTGGCAAAGCCCCAACAGGCCCTGAGATCCCTCTGCTTTGTGAGCAACGCAGTGTTCTGCAGACAAACTGTAGAATATTCAAGCTTTCAAAGGAGGAGACTCTTTTTCTTCCGATGAGTACAGATTAGAAAAGATCCAGCTCTCGCAAGGAAAATATAAGACTGGTGCTGGGATCTGAACTGAGGTATGGTCCCATACACTACTCAGAGAACACACTGGAAACATCTCAGTACTTGGACGTAGACCTTCATAGGTCTATGTAGCAAGTGTACAGGTCTGGGTTTCAGCTGGTGCATGAGCTATAAATTAGTGATATTCCTGCTAAAATATGCTTCTCTCTTCTTTCAGATCCAATGATGACACTGAACATTCAGATCTTCTTTGGCTTCCTTTGCTGCATTATTTTTGTTCCTACAAATGGCTTCCCAACAGACACCAGTACTGAATTTCGCTCTGCTTTCTCTGTGGCCAGAACCAGCAGCATGGAAGGAAGCTCCGAGATGGTTATTACCTTTGACAAAGTGTATGTGAATATTGGCAATGATTTTGATCCCAAGACTGGATTGTTCCGCTGTCGAATCCCTGGAGCCTACTACTTCTCCTTCACTGTTGGGAAATACCCAAAGAAAAACTTATCTGTCATGCTGATGAGAAACAAGAATGAGGTGCAAGTAATTGTGTATGACGAACATCACCGCAAGGAACGGAAGGTAGCCAGCCAGAGTGCCATGCTGCAGCTTGATTATGGTGACACAGTTTGGCTGCGTTTACATGGAGATCCCAAGTATGCTCTTTACAGCAACGTGGGACCCTATACAACTTTCAATGGCTACCTAATCTATCCTGACACTTCTGCCTTCTTCCAGAATGCTCTTAGCTCCCAAGAGCTGGGACCACACCCTCACAAAATTCAGCAGCTTCCCAGAGAGCAGAGTGAAGCTTCACAGCGGCACATGTTATCTGATCAACCAAACAGGGTACAAGACCCTCGTTCTGCGTTTTCTGTTGCCCGCTCACAGAGCCTCCTGGGGACAGATGAGGAGCAAACCCAGCACGAGCCAATCACGTTTGACACAGAGTTTGTGAACATTGGAAAGGATTTCAATTCTTCCACTGGTATCTTCTCGTGCCGTATACCTGGTGCATACTATTTCTCGTTCACCATTGGCAAAATGCCCTTTAAGACTATGTCAGTGAAACTTATGAAGAACCACAATGAGGTACAGGCCATGATCTATGATGACAACCACTCCAAGAGGCGAGAGATGCAGAGTCAGAGTATCATGCTGCCTCTGCAATATGGGGACACGGTTTGGCTCTACAGCCACCAGCACGATGGCTATGGTGCCTATAGCAACCATGGCAAGTACATCACCTTCACGGGCTTCCTGATCTATCCAGAGGCTCAGCCGAAGCGGCTTTCAGGTGCCAGCTCACTTCAAGGGTCAAATAATTAAATGCAGATGTGAAAGGAGCATAAGAAGAGCCAAGATGCCATGAACTTGGGTATAGCTCCTCTTTGAATATCATCCTCTACTTTGAGCATGCTATCATGTGTCCAGTGCTTTCCTTATGCTGCACGCTTTTGTGCCCTGTCTGCAGGGCCACAGCTGTGTCTGCCATTCATCTTTAGAGAGGCCTTTCAGATTGTACCTGTGTGTCCTGTGTTGGTGTTTGATTTAAGCATAAAGCATGAGGTAGTTTTGGGGCAGGGGTGGGGCAGTGTAGTGAGATGCTGAGGATCAGAAAACCACTGCATTCATGTTCCTGCAGATCCCCAGCATCCAGAGAGCAAAGGATATGGTGACTTTCCTTGTATATCTGGGGAGGGAATAAATGTAATGGAAATGAATGTAATAAAAATACAAAAAGTGTAAAATGTTCTCAGTTTGAAATTTGTTGCTACTTTGTAGCTTGTGTGCTTGTCGCTGGCTGAGGTACCAGCTCAGGTGAAAAAGCAGCATGGTGATTGTATGACCTGCATTATGTGTTACTGAGCCTATCTGTCTGTGTACACTCTTTTTTATCACGTGTGTGTGAAGGGTTGGTACTTTTTATGATTTAATTGCAAATTTCACAATATTTGGCGCTTTTCTTAGTCTGATGTAGATGAAGTCAAGAAGCTGTATTTGAGAATCTCAGCTTCCATGTCATGGAAAGAATACATTTAGAAATAAACAAAAAAATAGGCTTCTAGCCTTTGTTGTGAAAGATGAGGACTTAAATCCGGGAACAGACCATCCTCTAAAAGCTCAGAAGCAAGGTAAGTAAGAAGAATAAAAATGTAGTTTTAAATCCCTGAAGATCTGGGTCAGGAGCAGGCTCATAATGTGTAAGTGTGAGTAGTGCCATGCCATGCAGTGGCACTGCTGAGTGTAGGGGCATTACATTTCCTAGAAATGACCCCCTTGAATACAAGGGTACTGCTAACTTGCCATGTGCTGCACCGATAGCCTAGTGCAAGCATGATCAAAAGAATCATGAAGTGATGTTTTCAGCCCCTGTTTTCCAGTGTTTGCTTACACACCATGTTCTGCCAAGCTGCAGTGCGGCTGTAGAGAGGTCATTGTGGCTGTAGAGGACCCTACTGTGTTCCTGCAGTCGGGCAGACGGATGGACAAGACAGGCAGCCGGCAGGATCCACTGAGGAGGTAGGAGGAGCAGAGGAGTCTGGAGGCTTCATCGTGGCACGACTGGTGCTGTTTCAGTTGAGCTAAACTCTGGTTTGTCTCCCAAAAGCACATAAACTGCAAAAGTGCATAATTCAAGCATGCACAAAACTTTGCGACATTACTTGAGTTGAATTTATAATCTGCTCAACAGATAGCAATGCTCTTAAACTACTACTGACAAAATCCTGAGTTCAAAGCAGTGTATTTGCATCTGAGTCATAAGCCAACCCACTCAGCCTTTATCCATACATTCATATGGCTCAGACTGTATATTCTCCAGCAAGATAGTATTTTCATGCACTAGTGCCACGTTGGCTCAGCTTTTTATATTTTCTGCTCAAACTGTACTTAACTGCAGTCACTCACTGCCTCTGTCATTCCGTACATATCCTAGACATTAAAGACTGGGGGCATGTTTGGCAAAAGGATGGCAGGTAGATATTGAAGGTATGTAAAAAAACAGCATAAGAATAGTAGAATATTAGATGGGACAAGAAGTTTTACTTCAAATAAAATTCTAATCTTAATTCCTACATCTTTTGGAGTGAAAAGCAAACAAGTCCAATCCCAAAGCATAAATCAAAATTAAACAAATAAACATACAAAACAGAAAATCAGCAACAATGAGCCTGCTTTATTAACTGTGTAAATCTGTCTCCTCCTATTATAGCCCTAACCTGACCTCTAAAACCATTATCTGTGACATCTTGCTTCCAGGCTTCTTGTTCCTGCCTTACTGTTTCTCTTCTCCATCTGTTGGGTTGCAATTGCTTGGAAGAAGATTAACTAGGTCAAAAGCTAACAGTTCCCACTTTGAATGTCACACATGCCTCTTTTGTTGAGCATGGAAAAATTACAGAAAGGGAATTAGGGATTCCATCATCTAAACACATGCAATAAATGTTCAAAATTAATGTATCTCTAGTGGCAGCGGGAAACTTAGTAGAAACAACAAAAAATAAAATCAAAACCCTCCTGAGGAGATAATTACATTTATTTAATTCCAAACTGCAATGTTTAAGACAAATGTTAATTCTCTTTTTCTAAAAAATAATTATATTTCTGATTTTGAGGATAGAGATTAAATATTTATTATGTTTTGCTTGTAAAGTGCTATAGTTGTACAAAAAAAAATTTATAGAAGAGAGGCAAAATCTGCTGAAGAAATATCTAGGTCACAACCCTTCAGAATTTAAATGAGATTTCAGGAAGTATATTCCACACTGATAACTGAAACAAAGCTGTGTAGGTGTGTAAATATGACATGCAAATGCTAGAAAGCTTCATGGAATACATACATTTTCAGGTTGCTTTTTAAAGAAAAATTAATACATGAGATCGGAAATTACTATTGGCATACAAAATGTGATACCACATGAGCAGAAAAATGAAATTAAATATGTGAGCTATATCATGAAACACAGCAAAATCTGCTTAGCTGCTTACTGGAGAGGAGAAAAGATCCTGTATTTGGCTGAAACCACAGGGAGAATATAAGGAGGCTGAACTGAATGATGTGAAATGCAGTCAGCTAGGACACCAGCATAACATCCTGGAAAAATAATTCCAAGCCCTCTCCCCTGTAAGCATCAGTGATCAAGATAGATAAGACATCTAAATAGCACTGCTGCCCTCAGCACACCCCACTCGTCAAAAAATCAGGATAGGGTAAAATGCACTTTATAGTTTTGTCTTTTCTCATTTAAAAGTAAAAGGTTGCAAATAGTCTTACAGGGTTGCCAGCACAGTGCAGAAAGCAGGACAAAAAGATGTGGTATATTTGTACAAAGTCCTGCACAATGTAGAAAGCATTGAAAATAACCTAGGATGCAGCTGAAGTCAGGTGTGTCCTCTCCTATGGTAATTTCCCTCATTAAGTGTCTCTCTTGATCCTGGCCAGGTTAGAATGATAGAAGTGTTTCAGGGACGCTAAATGGGAAGGCTTCTCCTTCCAAGGCCAGGAAGCCAGGAGGAGGGTGGTATTTGCAGGGCAGAGCCCCTTGCACAGGTCACGAAAGACTTCGTCAACCAGCTGAGAGAAAAAACGAATCCAGAGATTTTTATCCAGACTCTGCGTGGAACGAACCTGATAGGCAGAGTATACACTGGTAAAAAGGAGACGGTCAAACTCTGTTAGAGGCAAGGGGGTGTCAGTCAGCGAATAATATCTCAGATGCTGCTCAATCTCTGTCGGTGTTTTGGGAACCTCATCCTCTAAAATCCGCAGGAACCGGCGTGCCGGGCGCAGGGAGGCCAGCTCTTCATCCCGCAGCCGGATCGTCCCGTTGGCCTGAATATCCAGCCTTCCCCAGAGCATCTGGAAGAGAGGAGCAGCATGCGCACGGGAAGCTCAGCACAAACCCTCCATCAGCTACAAAGGAGCTGTAAAGCCATCTGCAGAGCTGCCAAATCTCGGGCTGGTCGGGAGGCGGCCTCTCCCTGACTCGCTGCCCGCGGCCCGCCCAGTCCCACTCCCTGTGCTTCTCTGCCAGCCCCACACCCCTTTTCTGACCGGCCCCACAGGTCCCCGTGGGACATGTCCAGCTCCTGCCTCCCGCCCAGCCTCTCTCTCCCCAGGCAGTTCCGCCTGCAGCAGCTCCGCGGTGTGGCCGCCTTGGGCGCGGTGCTTGGCCCTTTGGGAGGGAGTCGCCCAACCCAGCGGGGATGGTCCCTTGTCCCACCCCGGGGGTGTGAGGTGCCACGGAGCGGGGCAGAGCCCCCTTCACCTGCACCCCACAATGGGAGGGAGCACAAACCCAAGTAGGCATCGCCAAGGCATTTTCCAGGGCCTCCTGAATTCCGTCAGGGATGAGAACAAACAAAACGGGTGAATTTTTACATGCAGATAGGTGGGAGCATGGCCACTAACAGTGCCTCGGCCCACGGGCCCCCAGTGCTCAGGAGACCTCTAGCATGATGTTGGCGTCCTCTGGGCTGCGGTGAGGTATGTTGGTGCCACTGTAAGGATGTTCATCTGGAAGACATCAGAAGAGTTTGGTAGTTTAAGACCTTCCTGTTTATGTTTTCAGTATTTCTGAGCTACCACTCATAGCTTGCCAAATATGACAGATGCTGTCCATGGGATTTTGATAAGCAAAACAAGCTTTTTAAGAGAAGCAGAAGTGGTTAAGTGAGGCAAGGGAATATTTTGGATATCATGGCCTTTAATCAAACAGGGCTAAGGCATACAGCAACAAAGGCACTTGGTTTGACAGGTAGCAAGGAAGCCTCTCACCTGAGTACAGGTGGGTTTTGAACTGATGGGTTTTGGTTGCTTGGTGGGTTTTGCTAGAGAAAGTAATGCTGCCCAGTGGAAGGGAGGAGCTGGGAGGCTCCTGAACCTGCTGATGAAAACATAACCTGATGCTTATCCTGGTTTTGTACTTCATCCCTAAACTTCTGCTGCTGGCAGGGGCAGAGTGTGAGGGTAAAAGAAACCTTGTCAGATCTATTATGGCTCATTTCATGTCCAGCTAATTACTTGCTGGGCCACATGACACCACGTCAACTGGAAAAAATGTGTATGAGGCTAGAGGAATGGTGTTTTTTGAATAAGAAAGTCACATTAACCCTAATAATTGTTTAGTTATAATCTAATAATACTTATAGTGCTTTAACTTTCTGCATTTATTTTGTCTTTATTATTCCTTTCTTTGTGAAAAAGGAGGTACAAGCAGTCTTGGTCCAGGACTATGAGAGAGAAGCTGCATCCCCGCCCTTCCCTATGTTGATCAGTTTCATCATGTAGCCAAGACCCTCTTCTGCTTCTTACAGACTCATCCTTCAGGTCAAGAAATATAGAATGAGAAAAACTTTTATAAAATAATAAGCTCTCTGACACATTCAGGTTTGGTTTTGGATTGTTTTGTTTTGTTTTTTTCATTTTTATATGGATGAAGACTTTTTTATATAAAAAGAAAAGAGTGAGAATTTATACTGAATACTCCAAAGTTAAGGTCAACAGGTGCACATAAAAAGTAGACAAATTATTCAGTATTCTTTGTGCGTGATGACTGCTACCAAACACCACTTCCAACTTCCCATTCCTAATTAAAGCTTTTCAGGGAGTTGCACGAGCTCCCTGAAGAAGTGGATTGCCACCCCACAGGCTGCAGAGGTTTGTTTCTCTGCACTGCTGAGGGCTCCATGATCCAAGCCAGCTGTGGCTTTGGAATGTGAGCAGGGACATAGCTTGTCTTTTCTACTCCTCCGTAGATGTGCCAGCAAGATTTTTAGCTAAGGTAAAAATATTATATAATCTGAAAATTTTGTTGTTGGTCTTTTCTCTACTAACTGAACCTCGAGGTTCACAGATCCCTCTACTGACTGACTGCAAAGTTAGTGCATTTGTTGAATAGGTGCCAAACTGCTGTTATTAGTAGCTGCCTCATAAATATACACAGTGGTAGATTTTTCAGTAGACAAAAATTAAAAAAAGCATAACAAATAATATATTGAAATAATAATAATCTAAATATCCTCTGGGGAATGGAAAATAGTTCCTTACTTATTTTATCACTAAGCAGGTTTGGGTTTTTTTCTCCAAAAAGCATATGGAAAATCCACAAACATAATTGCAGGAGCAGTCTTTTCTTCAGTGGAGACCCAGGAAAACCCTTCCCTTTCCAGCAAAAATATCAACAGGTCTTCAGCCTGCAAGTAGGTTACCAGTGCCTCTCCCAGCAAACCCCCCAGCTGAACTCCAGCTCTCTCCCATGCCAGTACAACTACTTGAAGTCTCTAACCATATTTGGGGAAGCAGGCAAAACACCACACAAATGGCATTGCACAGATGTTTGCCAAGCCAAGAAGCCGCGTCGCCAGCAGATGCGTTTCCTACCTGTCAGCTTCTGGGATCCAGCAAACACACACAGGACCAGCCAGGCACTGAACTGTGCCTGGGCCATAGCAGCTCTGCCCGGGAGCAGCTGCCACCCGCTCCACAGACAGTGCTGTGGGGCCAGAGAGTTTGCTGTGACGTCTTCCCTTGCTGCTCCTGGCCTCAGCAGCCTCTCTTGGAATGGATCCATCTTTCTGTGTTTCTGGTTGCAGTCCTGGGAAGAGCTTGCAGTTCAGCTTGCTGACCCCGAAGGATATTTTCCATCATATTTTGGAAACTTGGAAAACTTTGTTGTTTTTGGCAGAATTGTTTAAACTTCTTTTCCGAGAGTGACTTCCCTCTGCAATGCCTTATAGGAAGCTATTAGTTTCAAGAAATTATACTACATATGTTTGCCTCTGAAGAAGGGAAGACCTCCTAATCCCTTCCATATCTGCATAGTGCCTCTGTCACATCTGTGTCACTTCTGCTCAGCTCCTTGGCTTCATTGTCAGTTTTCCTTTTTCCCAGGTTTGAAAATCTGAAGCAATCCTGAAATCTCACAAACAAATAAGGTCATCAGACTGCAGACTCGTGGAAGGGTAGTAGCAGCCAAAATACACATGCAGGCAGTAGAAATATCACTGGTTCAGTTCTGTATCAAACCTCCTGGAGGGAAAACTCAGTAAACTGATCCAGCAAACAGGTATTGAAGTCCCTGAGGCTTTAGTATCTCATTGTCCTCTTCTGTGACTGGATTTCTGGGTTACAATGAGCACAATCTGCCTTAAATATTGTCGATTACATAGACAAAACTTCATCTGATTCCCTTTGCAGCAGATACCTCTTTTCTACACATCTTTACACTTTCATTAGTGCCCAATCCCCAGTCAATCTGTATGGCACAGTATAGGATGCCAGGGTTATACAAGTATGTAATACATGTATAAATAAGTAATAATACCATCTCCCTCAGGTTAAAGGGAGAAAGAAGTCTGCATAGAAAAGAGATGAGATAGAGCTGACATGCATCCCTTTCTCAGCAAGTTACAGAACAAGTTACAGTTTGTAGTGACTTCTGTCACCAGAGAGTTACTGAGGGTTGGGATGATGTCCCAGTTAGTAAGTTGTCAGTGTGCAAAGGACCACATCTTCTGAAGCGTTCAGGATCTGTATCTGTGCCTGGCAACATATGGGCTCACACCAGCTAAGAGAAGCAGCACATAATGGAAGTCATGCACTGGTCATGGGAGAAGTGGCCCACAATATCCAGAGCCACTCTTACCCTTAGTTTGGATTCAAAATAAAACTTGTGTTTCTGTCATAGCCTTAGCTATCTTCCAATCAGGTGGTGCTGCTTTTGTTTTTCATTATTTTCTGCTGCTTATGCTTTAGTTGCATCCTTTTTCTTCTGGGATGTGGTATCTTTTATTAAAAAGTGAATCACAAGCTCATAAGGCAGGCGCTGGTGGCCCATCTGTGCAGTGAGATTGATGTGCCTTCTGCTTTGTGCCAGAGTCCCTTACAGTCCACAGTATGCACATGACTTTGCCTAGAATTCACTGTGCAAATACCCCTGAGTCTCACAGGCCATGAAATAGCTTCCTTTAGCATGCAGCACATGACAAAAGGAGGAGCCCAGGATTTTGGCCAACATCTGCAAGGGCTGTACATGATTTTGTCAACAGGAGAATTTCCTAGGGACAGCTTGCAGCTGAAGTGCCTAGAGGAGAATATCCCTGTTGGTGGGATCGAGAAGAGAGGAGACTCAGAGTCCGTGCTCAAGGTGACTGACGCAGTGGCAGGTGAGGCATAAGCATCAGTGTGGGATTTTTGTAGAATTACCTCACTATCCCACACAGAAAGGCAAATGCAGAGTGGTAAACTGTCTGTACAACAGCAGTACTTGCAGAGAAACAAGCCTGAGCTTCTGACAGCTGCCTAGAGTCCCTGCATATATGACTGCAATGTTTGGCAGTGCACCTGCTCCTCCTGAAGGATTTTGTCCTTGCCAGATATTCACAGCTGAGTGTGCACAGCCCTGCCCCTCTGCACTCCCCTGGTCATACCGTCTGTTGCCAGAGCAGTTTCAAAACATAATAATGAGCCTGTCTTATGCGGGGCACCTTGACTGGTTTAATCTTTTTCACCACCTGAAAGCAGGAAGATGGGAAATGGGAACAAGATAAGAGAGATTAAAAACTGCAGGAGCTGGTTGGATGCTGGTTGAGGCACAGAGTGTGATTAATACAGCATCAGAAGAGCCTCTTTGGCAGGGAAGTTTCTTTGAAATGGGACTACAGGGAGATAGACAGCATATTCACAAAGAGGAAATTCTGCTTACAGAATTGGAGAAATCATTTGCTTCAATCATCCCATCAAGAACTTGGGAAGATCATAGTCGCCTGGGTCTGTCTGGCAGGTGCTCAGGGGGGAAGGATTAGGAGAAGAAGTTTGAGGAAAGAGGGGAAGGAAGAAGGACATACATGGCTCCCAGGGAAGGTGAAGTTTGAGTCACTGAAGGGGAAGAAGGAAGAAAACCTTGAGGAAATTAGGAGCGAAGTGTTGACCATAACCAGACAGGACCTCTGTTACAACAGTATTTTCCAGGTATGGTGCTGCCAGTCCTTATGCAGATGCTTTCCTTGTCTTTTTCTTTCAGTTTATGAGAGGTATCCACTGCTTGAAGAAATAATGAGCGATGTAACAGTGACAGGGAAGGCCCCATACCACTGCAGCTACTGCACCAACAGACTCCCTCAGACTTGCACGACTTGGAGAAAATGTCAGGGGATGCAGCGTAATGTGTCCTTCAGTAGTCCCATAAGCTCTGTTGAAATCTTCATCTGGATTTTGACTGGAAATCAATTATAAGGCCTATACCAACTGTGTGTGGCCCTGATGTGGGTGGACACCCTGGCACTGTCTGTACCACATCCTCAGGGAGGAGAGTCTGCTCGCCTGGTTCTAGGGAGAAATGCCAGAGTTCTGGAAAACACCAGCAAAACCTACTCAGCTGGGGAAGCTCAACATGGTGACTGTGAGTCATCACCTAAAGTCTATTTTGTCCCTCTAGTACCAGAAAATCTCTTTTCTAAATAGTGTGTCTGCAAGTCTGCTACATCTGACTTTAATCTCATCCAACATCCTCCTACACTTGAGGAATCCAACCAGGCAAACAAGCCCTCTGGAGGCTGGCAATACAGGGACAGAGGATTTGGAAGACAGGTTTGTGCTTGACCAAGATGAGAACACCTTACCCAGCATGAGGCAAATGTCCACCAGCCACAAGGAAGCCAGAGTGAGTAGACTCCATAGGCAAAAATGGCCCCTGGAGCTCAGGAATAGTGGAAAGGAGATAGAATGCCAACACTGGCAGTACTTTGTGAGGCTGTGTAACCTCTTGTGCCCTGGGATAATGTGTCTAGGTGAGTAAATTGTCATCATCATCTTCCAGGCTAAGCTAAAGAGAAGAGATTTAGCTCCATTAGCAACTATTCCACATATTAAAGACCTTCTGGAAGCAATGCCTGTGCCCACAGGGCCGGCTGCTTTCCCAGTACATACATTCTTGAGCAAAGCTTGCATGTTGTCTAACTTAACAGGGCATTGTGTCTAACACTTCTTGATGTTCCATCAATCAAATTCTCCCTCTGCACAAACATTATGTTTAAATGGCAGATTTCCTGCTACCATCAGTCTTCTGGCTTATTGTACTGGGAAATACGTATTTTTTAATAATACATAGACCACGAGTCTTGACATGGCATCTCGAGCAACTTGGGGATGAAAAAGAACCAAGGGAGGAAATGCGCTTCATAAAGAATTTTCATGGTAATAGAAGTGGTGCCAGGAACTTTTCTGTCTTATGCAATAGGCATTAGCATGCTACGAGAGCTGCTGCAACAGAAAATAGAACCAGCTGTGGAACATCTTGTAGAAAGAATTGTAAGTGCATTTCCTATTTAATCAGCTCAATTGATGGCAGACCCAAAGTGAAGAATTGTATGAAACCCCACACTTCTGCTATTTTGTGTTCCATTCCCATCTAGAGCTACAGCTTTTAAGGTGAGTGGTAAATGCTATTAATTTTAACTAGAGAACACTGTTGAGTCACATCTCAAACACTGCTGGCCACAGCAGCCTGAAATAAAATTTAAAAAAAAAGAAAAGGGAGAGTGGGGAAATAAGCAACCCATGTTTACAAGGCTGGGGTGGAAACAATTATGAAACTCAATTCCTAGCATACAGTTCAGCTCTTCACTCTTGAAAACAGATCACATTCTAGTCACAGTGAGTAGTTGGCTTTTTTCTTAATTGAATTTACTATTGTCCTATCCTTTCCTCCATTCCCATACTCTAACCTCCTTCAAACCCCTATTTTATTTAGTACTTTTACAGTTTAAAAGCTTAAGTAGTGATTCAGGGAATCTCTACAAACAGCCTGTGAATTATTTTATGAAATCTCTTATACAATAGTTTTCAGACCTTAATGAAGCCAGTCAGCTTTCTGATGCAGAACTGCATGATGCATTTTCCAGACCAAGGACAAGGGACACTCTGAATTGATGACTGTCATGTAATCCCATTCAAATAGGTGCTGGGTGGATTGGAACTACAGTGCACTTCCAGCTATTTTGGAGAAAACTGTGATTTTCCATAAGAGCAAAGAAAGTGTTAATGCTATTATATCATAAAATAATAATAATGGCCAGTCTTCGCGAGCGAAGATCCAGGGAAGGTCTTTACACCTTCCAGCCTGCGCATTGGATTTTTTAGGTGAGACACAGTGTGCGCGGAACTGAGCCCACCCTTTAATCCTAAGGTTCATCTGCCGGGGCCAAGCGAGCTTGGACGGTGGCAGCGAGGTCCTTAGGACGTAGGTGGGTTGCCTTTAAGGGCTAACGAGCTCCACCTGCCCGGGAGTGGCCCTGACCGGGAATCGAACCCGGGTCTCCGCGGTGATAGCGCGGCGCCTTTACCACTGGACCACCAGCATAAAGCTCAAAATAACTGTAATAGTGACAAAAAGACAGACTCTTGTCTACAAGAGAAGGGAGGAAGGTATTTCTGGTTGCAGAAAAAAAGCACAATCTGAAGAGGCTGGAGAAAGTAAAGACTGCTTGTGAAGAAAAAGCCACCCTGAGGGAGTGTCACATCAGAGGTTATGTGCAACTCCTGTCCAGAGAAAAGAGACTGACCTAATTTCCATGGAAACAACACAGAAATTTCCATAATTGTTTTGGTCTGGATCCAGGTGTATTTCTGTTGTCCTAATAAGAACTGTATTAGAACCATTTATAAAAGCTTTGCTTGTTTGCCGTATTATTACCATTTTCCCAACACCCATCCTGGAGAGCTAAGATACTGCTGTCCCACTGCTCAAGCTCCACAGCTGCTTCAGTACAGTTTCCTAGTGAGTGCTCAGGTTATGACTTATGCCTGCAAGGACTGCTTCCAGAAGTAGTGTATACAGAACACCTTCGCCACAAGGAATGCCTGCACTCTATTCAATTTGCAAACCAAAAAAGAAAAATTGAGTGTTTTACAACTCAAAGTACCAGATAAACATCTACTCGTTGGATTATCAGGATTGTAAGTGAGCATTCCCTTGTCTTGTGCTTTTCATGTAGCTTGAACACATTATTCATGAGATCACACCAGGCAAGTATCTCATATCAATTTTTATTATTATAAATACTATGTTAGAACAGAAAGGATGGTGCCGGGCATCCGCTCCATTCTGCTGCTATTTTGCATCTTCTTTCTTGGCTCCTGCTTCTATTTTCAGGGGTTCTGGAGCTGCACGATAAGCAGGAAATGCCTCCCACGGACTATTCAGATCAAACTTGCGAAATTCCTGAGACAGCTCCACAGGCTCTGCCACTACCCGTTTCACTTCATCATCATACCGCACCTAGAACAGTGCAAAGGACACAACCAGTCATTTTCACCCGGTCCCAACAGCATCTCTGTTATGAGCCATACACGGTCATGACCCAGACCACCCTCCAGTGCAGACAATCCTACTCCTTATGCCATGGATAGCCCACAGACCTCTGCAACAGCTTCAGTTCTCCCCATTACTAAACAAGAGCCCTCCACATGCTACCAAGATCTCCAGACTCTCCAGGAAAACACTCCTCTTTGCTGCCATGCACCTCAGGTGTCATGACTAACCACACAGAATTAGGAAGGCCCAGCCTAACAGTCCACAGAAAGTTCACATGGAATAACACAGTTTGTCATATGACAAAGGAATTTCTCCTGAGTCACTGAAATAAGGTGACTGGGCCTAGCATAGCTGTGACTACACTCATGAATCTTTATAACATGGCATTCATTTGGTTTTAGTTGTTCTAATTTTTAGCATAACACTCAGAACATAGGGAAAAGATGACAAACAGGATGAAATGCAGGTGAGTACCACACTCTTCTGACTGGCTTGTTTTATCCTCACTGTGCCAGTCCAGATTTCCAAACCCCAGCTCAGAAGATGCTGCCTGGTCCTCACTTCTGTAATTCTGTTGCTTAAAGAACCTCACTGTTTCCTCCCGAGACTCAGCTCAGTCTTAAAACTGCACAAAATATTGTCTGTTTCTGAAAGGCGATCATTTGAAACTAATAATAATAATGGCCAGTCTTCGCGAGTGACGGTCCGGGGAAGGTCTTTACACCTTCCAGCCTACGCATAGGATTTTTTAGGTGAGTCACAGTGTGCGCAGAACTGAGCCCACCCTTTAATCCTAAGGTTCATCTGCTGGGGCCAAGTGAGCTTGGACGGTGGCAGCGAGGTCCTTAGGATGTAGATGGATTGCCTTTTTTAAGGGTTAACGAGCTCCATCTGCCCGGGAGTGGCCCTGACCGGGAATCGAACCCGGGCCTCGGCAGTGACAGCGCCGCGCCCTTACCACTAGACCACCAGGGGCTCCCATTTGAAACTAGGCAGACACCAAACATTCATTTCCCCCACGGTTTGACATACAGAGGCAAATGATAATCGCAAGAGTCAGTTTAACTAGTTTTATAAGCTGGGCCTACAACAACTCAACAAAGTAAAGTTCTAAATGAATTAAGAATAATTCAGTCCTTTACCCCTCTAGAAATGTTCAGTTTTGCAGTGGAAACTTTAATCTTCTACAAAACATGCTAAACGAATTTCAGGCACTTCCTCTGCCTGTGACAAGTACCTTTGGTATATTACATGGTGCATAACATTTGCTCAATGTCTTTGGCCTTAGGCAGCCTTATTATGGATAATATTTTGTGTGATACTTCAAATTTCCATGCAGGAGATCTCTACAACTCCTCTGGAATACACACAAGCAAAACATCCTTAGTGCCTTTCAGCCAACTGACTGCAAAGCAGTCACATCTTTGTACTATAACTTGATAAGAGTAATTGAGAACTTGATAACTTTAGACATGACTGTATATCCTACCTCCACGTAACCAGAGAGTGGGAAGTCCTTCCGGAAGGGATGGCCCTCAAACCCATAGTCTGTGAGGATTCGCCTTAGATCAGGGTGGTTGGCAAAGAAAACACCATACATGTCCCAAACCTAAATGAAATGGAGCCAAGTAAATTGAATGATATTTGAAATAAAAAAAGCCAAAAAGTTGCATGTATTATGTCCATAAAATTTCAGTTATGAGCCTGGCTTTGTACAGCACCAGTGAAAGTGATGCAGGAATTAATTCAAAAGCAAATCAAATATCCTTTAATCTCCTACTCTGAAAAGGCAGCTGAGGAAACACTTCTTTCTTCCTGAGGGCCCTGGGAAATCAGTTTAATCGGGAAAATACAGCCTCTCTCCACAAAGACTCTGTTCCCAAGCACACCAGCACTCACCTCTCTCTCATACCAGTTTGCTGCCTTGTGCACAGACACTGCTGAGTCAACAGGTGTCAGCTCATCTGTGTACGTCTTTACACGGATCCGACTGTTGAACCGCAGGGACAGGAGATTGTACACAATCTGAATCAGAATAAAAAGCAGCATTGGTCTTGTACAGCATTTATGGATCTCTCTGCAGTACAGCACTGGCTAAGGAAAGCCACACAACGACTGTTTCAAATATTCTTTATGAGCAGAATCACATCCAGCACCTTAGAGCTGACCACTAAAAGACACTATAACAACTGAAGTTCCAATAGTTTATCACTTTGGTCCTTAGGAGTGTAACAAAAATGATGTGAGATTTAGAAAACATGACTGATGAAGAAGAGCTGAAGTAAAGAGGAATACTAAATCTTGAAAGAGAGAATATTGAAGGGATGGAAACACTTGATAATAGTCCGTCTCAAAGATAATGGCTATCAATTACTATTGCAATTACTATCAGTGGCAGAAGGTGAAGAAGAAATACACTGAATTTTACAGATCGAAGTGGAAGTGAAGCTGCAATAACATCTTTGCAACAATACTGTGGACAAAGCTTTCTCGTAGTAGGTGAGAAGACAATATGCTGAGTATGTTGTTTCACAAAAGCTGTATCTTCTCTTTTTCCATTTGCAGCTGAGGTTTTTCTGCAGCTGAAAAGCTATATGTTCAAAAGCATCTTTAGGAACCAAATTTCCAGTATCCACTGAAAGCCAGTGAAAGTTTAGCACCCAAAATCTTCTGAGAGCATTCTGAAAATCTGCCTCATCTCCTATTTGGCCTTAACTTTAAAGAAATGTTTTTAAAACAACTAAACAGGGTTTTCTGCTTTGTGGGTTTTTTTTCTTTTAAGAGGAAAATTGTTAAGAAGACTGATGGGATTTAAAGAAAAACATTTATGTCAACAGCAATTGATGGTCCCACAGGGAAGAAGGACGAACATCAATTCACAAATGGCCAGAAAGAAGTCTAAAGACATTTGGTAAAGCTAAAAGAAATCAAAGGAAAAAATTAAAAGAAATAAAAAGAGACTTTTAGAAGAGTAAGGAAAGGAAAGCCAGAGTAAGAACCCATGCAGTACCAGTTCTGTTACTGCTTTCATGATCAAGAGATTAAACAAAACCCAGCATTTCAGAGTGGATTTTCTTTTCATTGTCAGAAAACAAAAAAAGTGATCAGAGCTGCAAGCAGCACCCACAGCCATCAGCACTTGTGAAACCCTCTAAGTTCTGCACCTATGAGAAGTTCTTACCTCAAAGCGATACTGCCGAGATGGGACATCAACAGCAGTCAAGTCAGCCAAGGATTTGAACTGGGCATTCGTGTGATCGCGAAGGAAGGTCAGAACTGGAATGATTCCATCTGGATGGATCAAAAGTTCCAGCTCATTGAAACAGGTCACCTGACAAAAACAGAATGGTGGGTGGGAAGGGCATGAGTACAAACACTAACAGGATTGAACATTATGCTGATTCCAGCAGAACACTCAAAGTGGTATAGCAGACAAGAAATTGCATCAGAACAAGGTGTTTAATAATAGCAGTAATTTTCATGCAATTCTGACAATTTTTCTTCCCCAGAACAACTTCTGAAAACATCTAACAAGCAAGTGGTGGGTTCACTGGGTCCTGTCCCACCACAAGAACAATTTCTGAACAGCACCTACCTGTACTTGCTGGATATACTTTGGCAGAATCTCAGCCACATACTCCCCAAAAGCACATAGCTGCTTCTGTTCTACTTCATTTTTTGGTCTGACAGTAGCTAAAGAGAAAAACAAAGTCTTCAAGATTATGACAAGGAATATAGAAAGTTACAGAAAGAAGAGTAGCAACTCCCATCCCTAACTTAAAAATTCCTTTAACCAATCTAGCTGTCTGTCAGATACTGGACTATAACAATGTTGTTATAGTGTGCTACAAAGAACATGGACTATACACTTTGATAATGAAACGACATTTGTGTCAGTACTAGATAGAATTTTTTTGTGGGCTCTAAACATAGCAGGCAAGTCCAAAAAGATGACACAGAAGAAAGTAACAGGATGAAAAAGAGGAAGGTAGAAACGACAGAACAATCTGAACTTAGATACTACACATGCCATTCAATCTGGGTCTAGAAGGGATCTCCCCTACACTAAAGCGGTTCTATCGCCCAGGAACGTCCTTGGGGCAGCTCAGTGCCCTCCCGCGGAGCCGGCGGCTGGCAGGGGCACAGCCGCACGCCCCGGGCTCCCCGCCGCCCCCCGCCCGCAAACCGGCCCCGCACTCACGGCGAGTCTCCCCGGCAGAGCTCCCCGCCAGCCGGGCCCGCGCCGCCGCCGGTGCCGCGCCAGCTGCGGAGAGAAACGGACACGTCTCACCGACCGCCGCCAACTGCCCGGCCCGGCCCGGCCACCGCCCCCCGGGACAGCCCCCGAGCCCCGGGCGGCCTCACCTCGCAGCGCGGCCCGCGCCAGGCCCCTGGCCGCCGCCGCCAACATCCCGCCGGGACACGGAGCGGCAAGGGCACCGGGCGGAAGCGGAAAGCGCCGCCGCGCTGCCCCCGGGGGCGGAAGCGCACCAAGAGCTTCCCGGGGACGGCGCCGGGTCGGTGGGCGGGAGCGGCGAGTGCCCGGCAGCGCCTGGCGCAGGGTGAGGGGCGGGAGCAGCCGCTGGGGCACCCCGGGGCGGCGGCATGAAGGGAGGCGCCGCAGGTGGGTGCTGAGCCGCGGGGCCGGGGCGGGAGCAGTGCCACCGCCGGCCCGGGGACGGGGCAGCGAGCGGGGCGGGGGGCGGCGGGAGCAGCTCCCGGGGCTGAGCCAGCGCTGCGGGGCGAGGGGACGCTTTGCACGGCGACAGCACGGGCCTGAGGGGGCTCTGCGCCTCTCCGAGGATTAGCGTTTCTTCCTTCCTTCCTTCTCCCCGCCCCGCACCGTGGGATCGTTGTCAGTTGTGGTTTTGAGTTCCCCGATCCCGGGCGCTGCCACGGCATCCGTGATCCTGTCAGGAGCAAGGAAGAAAGGAAGCTAGAGCACAACTCCTGTGAGGAGCGGCTGAGGGAGCTGGGGTTGTTTATCCTGGAGATAAGGAGGCTTAGGGGTGACCTTATAAGCCTCTACAGCTACCTGAAAGGAGGCTGTAAGCCAGGTAGGAGTCGGCCTCTTCTCCTGAGTAATTAGTGACAGGTCTAGAGGACATAGGTTTCAACTGCTCCAGGGGAGGTTCAGGTTGGACATTAAGAAGAATTTCTTCACAGGGAGATTGGAAGGGACTGTCGAGGAAGCTGGTGGAGTCACCATCCCTGGAGGTGTTTAAGGAAAGACTAGACGTGGCACTTGGTGCCATGCTCTAGTTGACAGGGTGGTGTTCGGTCATACGTTTGACTTGAAGATCTCCAGCTTAGTGGATTCTGTGATTCTGTGAAGGAGGGGTGCCAGGTGTTGGCTACACCACTGTCACCAGTAGCCTGGCCCACGGAATACATGGAGTGTAAGATTTGGCTTTATGGGACACTTAACTGTCCTCCACACCTTTTTCTTTTATATCAAAGGCACCATGGATGCAAAGGGGAGCTTTGTGTTGCAGAGAAGGATGTGAGATTTGCAGCAGTCTTTAGTTGCTGTTGGCATTTCTTTTGTGACTTGGCACCAGTCCTCTGGGAATTTTGGAGGGCAGTGTGGGAAGCTGGTTCTGTTGTGTCAAGGGTAGTTCATCCCTATGTATCCTGGTACTCTTCATGATCTCTTCAGCATTCTGGACTTATCTTCTGAGCACTTTGACTGTAAGGATAAAGAGCTTTAACTGAAGTAGGAGCTAATTTGCAGGATAGGCTCATACTTGGTAAAGCTGGAAAAAATAGTACTGATGTGTACCGTGCTAATTGAAGTTCCTCAGTCTCTTACAGACTAATGTATAGATATTTTTCAGACAGACCAGAACTACTGTAAAATCGTGATAAGGGTATAATTAAGATAGGCCATCACTAGAGATGGGACAGACTTGTCCAGGCAATTAAGGATGTAGACATTTCTTTCTGTGAACTGAATTTGAGCAAAGAACTTAGGAGCCCTCCTGTATCAAACAGAGCTATTGTAAGAAAATGCGTGTTTGACAAAATAAATAATGGAAGAGTAACTATGAATCTCCTGGAGAAAAATCATATGTTTGGGAAACATTGAACTGAAAATCATGTTCAGTATTGACTGAAGAAATTTGTGGTATCAGCCACCATGGCTAATAGTTCAGTTGTAAAAATAAGTTTAAAGTGAATACAGGTAGGCAACTATTTGTTCTTAATGCTGTCAAGAGCCATGTTAAAAAAGAGCTCCTTCCTATAGCAGTCCTCATTTCCAGAACCTTTTTTGACCCACAACTACCTTGAACTCCACAAACATCTGTAGTACCTACTAAGAGGTGGTTTCTTTAAATTTTTTTCCCCTTTCTGCTTGGGAAACAGTGACTAACAACATCCAACATGTTGTTTTGCATGCTAAAGGTGCCTGGCACATTAACAAGCAGAGTATGACCATTAGTTGTCTCATTTGGTTAGCTTGAAGGACTGGTGGTTATGTCTGACAGACTTCTCACACGTCTTTTTGGTAAAAACAAACTCGCCTTACTTGATAACACTGTGCAGATTCATCATATTGGGTTTGGATGGTAATTATCCTAATGATACGAGCTGCTGTCTGTGCTCTTTGTTAGTACAATACTGTAATTCTTTTTACATCTAGTCCAGCTATGTCGTTGCCACTTTTTTTTGGCTTTACAAGTTTCCTAGGGCGGTTGCTGGACTTTCCACTTGAATAACTATCGATGCGTTTCTTTGTGTCAGTGAAATGAGTGGTGAAAAGATATGCGCATCTCCCAGCTCTGCAGGGATGTGATGCTCACTGTACTGGAAGTTTGGTATATATTATAATTTTAATTATGCCAACTTCTCATTTGTTGTTTGAGACTCTGAAGCTCAAGCAGAAGTTTCTTGGTGTGCTATTTATATTCAGTCTAAAATATGCTGGACTCTTACCAATATGTTTGATTTTTCCCTGTACCCTGAAGTACTGCATAATCTTCTTAGTGAAGAGAGAAAGCCATATAATTATTGTGATTTTACAGATTGCTGGAGGTCTGATCTGTGCAGCACCATGGACTCGTCAGAAGAGACTGGAGGCTCCTCTGCAGAAGAAAACTACTTTGTGAACTACACCTTCACTGATCGCTCCCACTCAGGCCGTGTGGCCCAGGGTATTATGAAATTGTGCTTGGAGGATGAGCTCTTTGCTGATGTTACAATATCAGTGGAAGGCAAAGAATTCCAGCTGCACCGTTTGGTCCTCTCAGCTCAGAGTTGCTTTTTCCGTTCTATGTTCACTTCCAACCTAAAGGAGGCCCACAACCGGGTGATTGAGCTGCAGGACGTTAGCGAGAGTGTCTTTCAGCTTCTTGTGGACTACATTTACCATGGAACTGTAAAGCTGAGGGCAGAGGAGTTGCAGGAAACCTATGAAGTGGCAGACATGTACCAGCTGACTGCCCTTTTTGAAGAGTGCTCCCGTTTTCTGGCCCGTACAGTGCAGGTTAGAAACTGTCTGCAGGTCATGTGGTTGGCAGACCAACACAGTGATGTGGAGCTCTACACAGCTGCAAAACACTGTGCAAAGTCACATTTGTCTCAGTTGCAAGACACAGAGGAATTCCTACACCTGCCTGTCCGCCTGCTGACAGACATCCTTACAGGTAAGGAGTTCTTGAAACTAGTCAGGATGTGGATGTAGAAAGAGACTTTCAGAGAGTCTGTCAGGGATTGAATGAAATAAATGGCAAGATCCAAGCTTTCATAATCACAGTCTACTCAGAGACTTCACTAAGCAAAGCAAAGCAAAACGTTCTGGATAACTTATTCAGAAAAGAAACAAAGCTATTGTTACTGGACATGAAACATCTAAGCTGTAGAAAAGGGTCATAGAGGATGCTGGTAGTTGCCAGCAGTTCCTGAGTCAACAGGTTAGAAGTATTACAGGTTTTTTAAACATAAATTCCAAAAATGTGTTGGGTTTTTGTTTGCATTAAAACAAAGAAGCCTTACCAAAAATAAACACCTTATGAAAGCCTTTTTTTCCATTTTAGTTCGTAATCATTTAACATAGTAATGCAATAACTCAACATTTGTAAGAAGGCTTGTGAACAACCCATATTTTTAGACTGTTGGTGTTATTTACAGTCGTATATAATTGTTAGGATTATTTAGGCTAGGCACTCAGCTGACTGAAATAGAGGCATTGTAGCATCTTAGATAATACAGTAACCACCCTTCTTGTAAAGGTAATGGAGTTCCACAGTAATGGATGCAATGACTCAATGTTATGAAGGATGTGTCCACACAAAAATAACTTACTCCGGCTTGCACCAATCATTGAAGGTCATCTGCTGCCCTAGTAGGTACAGCCAGTACTTGGTTACGCCTCCAGGATACAGTCACAACTCGATTTTTGTGCATTTATGTATCATTGCTAGAGGAAGCAGGAATGTAGAAGCAGCTCCTACATTCAAATATGCCCCTTCCTTGCTTTAATTATTCTCTGCGAATGAGTAAATAACTGTACTCTGTGCGTCACGGGTTTTACGTGTTGTTACAGCAATAAACCTACCATGACTGGTGTCTTTGGAATACTGGCAAATCTGTCCATAAGGCTTAAAATAGCCTTTGGAGTTGATGCTATGCATCTGAGAGTCTTTACAGATATTGCATTATATTATCTCTATTACATCTAAAGAAATTTTCAATAAAAAAACATTGAGTATATGTACTGATAGCTCAAAAATATGATAAAATTGGAGTAATTTTGATAACTATCTAGCTAAAATTTTTAAAGTAAGTCGGGAGTTTATTAAAAAATCCCTCTAAAATCATGAAATAAAACTCTAGAGGTCTATCACCTTTAAGTTCTTAGGGATTCCACATAGTAATCATAGTTTTAGGACTATGGACTTCAGTGTTTGTGGTCTTAAATTAAAATAATTGTTCAGTAAAATTTTTTTTCTATGCATTGTCTATTTCCATACATAGAATCACATTACTCAATATTTATACTGTAACGTAGCTCATAAAATTTGAAATATGCTCCTACTGCTGGTAGGGGAAATCCTTTGCTTTTGCATTTCCTGCATCTCTGTTTAGTTAATGAAAAATTAAATAGAGGAAGCTATTAGGAGCTTTAGTAGGATTAAAATTTATTTAATAAAGTAGTAACTTATTAAGTTTAGCTTTTGTTGCACTCTTGGACCAATTTCAATGTGATGGTTGGCTTATGGAAATCCCTTTTACAAATAAAGAGAGTTAAAATACCTGCTTTTCTGCCACGCTTTTTCTCTTCCCTTCCAATACAGAGAAAAGAGTTGGAATTTGTCTGGTGCCTCCAGCATCATTGAATTCGGGGTTTGTCATGAGAGCAAACTACAAAATCAGAGAGCCTTCATAGGGAAAACTTCTCAGTGAATACAGGCATAATTGCTGGCTTTCAAACTGGAAGGAAATACTTAAAATCTTCTGGT